GAAACACCAAAGAGCTAGAGGAAAGTTGTGGTGAACGCATAAATAAACTCAGTTTCTCCCACAATTCTCAGTGCACAATATAACTTTCCTCCCCCTCACATAGCTCCTTCCTTTTTTTGGTTTAACATTATTGTCTCCTAATTTCTCAATATTTTGTGTGAATGAAAATCTTCCGTTAATTCTAATTCTCGGAGTCCATCGGTAGGAAAGGCTACCCTAGTGCTCAAAAAATGACATTTGAAAAAATTTCTAGTTTCTTAACTCTTTTTGTTATTCCCTAGAAATACGTTCTAAAGTTCTTTTTGGTTTTCCTGTAGTGACACGGCAGGAAAAGCCCTCTGGGAAGCCTTACTGAGCGCCAAGCATAAGGAGGCAGTGATGGAAGTTCGGAGACATCTAGTGGAAGCTGCAAGCAGAGAAAACCTGCCAATCAAGATGAGTATGGGTAAGCATAGCTCTGTCATGTAAGCGCCAGAAAATGATCCCAGGCTCTGAGGAGGTTTCTCTACGATTGTTCAGAACTGTGGGTCAAGTCAGCCAGTATGGCGTATTGAAAGAGCTTAGAAACTGTTGAAAGACCAGGCAAGGACTGTGTGCATCCTCCCTGCTTTACTTAGACTCCACTTCTTGCTAACAAAGAGTCATTATTTTGTTATTTGATATGGACATTTCAGAATAGGTCTGAGCCCCCTTTTCTTCATTCTCTTCCGACCTCTTCTGTTCATGTCCCCTTCTCACTGGAAGACGAAACCAAAAACTCCTTCTTTCCCAATGATGGCCCTGAGTGAAGGTTCTTTGATTGGCTTGGGATTTGTGAATGAACTACTGTACTGGAAAAACCATCGAGCAGTTAGACATGCCCTGGCCTGCCCTCTCACCCTTAGAGTGGTTTGCTAGTTGTTCTAGGACATAATTGTTGTTATATCTTCATCAGGGAATAATACACTTCATTTTCCTCATTCCTCGTATCTTGCTTTGACTTCACTAATTAAAGAATCTGGCTACTGTGAAATGTAAGTTCTTAATAGCCTTTTCCCCTTGGGATAGAAATCTGAAAACCATAGAACTGATATTTTGATCTTAGGACATTGGCTTTCCTTTTTTTTTCTGTTAATAATTTTATTAATGTGGAAATAAAGATGGACACTGAATCTAGTTAGAATTTACTTTTAGAAACTTGCAACATTTTATTTTTCTATTTTTTAAAATTAGAGTGCTTACTTAGAATCTGTTCTTAACTGATTGCAATGATCAATGTATAATCCTCCACC